GCCAGTTTCTGTGGTTCCAACATCTGAATCAGTGGTGAGAAATGAAATTGCACATGATATTGTTTTCAGACACTCATGCCTGAGGATTTTGAAGTGTGTATCAGTAACAAAACTTAATTTCCTGATGTATCACTGTGAAGTAGTGTGACAAAACAATGGTGTTGAAGACAGAAGTCAAAATGACACATCTCCCTCCTCTCCCAATGAAAAAAAAAAAAAAGGAAACAGTGGAAAAGCAGTGCTCTTCCCTTACTAATGTAGTAACAGTCCTGTTGTCTTAAATTTAGAAACTGTTAATTTGTAGTGTGATGTTTATTAAGTTTTCCCTACTGTGAGTTGTCCTGCACAGAATTCTCCACGTTCTCAAGACCAGGTGGTGGTGAAGCACTGCAGGTGACCTAGCCAACCAAGGGGCTACCGTGAGGGAGCCCCCTTTCCGCAGACAAGCGCCCACCCAACAGGCCCAGTTTCCCAGCTCTCACAGCACAGGACAAATGTCATGATGATTATGTCAGTCTTGGGGAGTTCAGATGGCAAATGTCTTGATGAAGATAGAGTGTTTGCTGGGTTGTCAGCAGCAAAGCCCTATCTTTTGGTATCAGTAACACAGGGGAGCTTCCTGTGCCCTTGGCTCTCTTCATCATCTGTAAATACTCTGAGATCTACAAGTAAAAAAAGAACAGATTTTGGTTACTAAATGAAGATATTAGCAGTAAAAGCATATTTTTTGCAAGGTTGAACCTGTCTCCTTATGCAATAAGAAATCATTGAGTTGTTTCTCAGTGGTCTCATGGTTTGTGGTTCTGATTAATAAAATATACTCTCTTACAACTTGAATTTTCTTCAGATAAATATGTTTTTGAACTTTTAAAAAGATAGAGCATTTTGAATTTTCATTTTGATTTTCTTTTGCAGATTTACTATCATATCTTTTTGTTGTCAGATCAAGGCTTACATGGCTCATTGCATCTATGCATAGCAAAAAATGGAAGTATAATTCATGTGAAATTTTTTATAGTTCAGAATCAACACCTTTTTGGAATGCACTCTATAAAGACTTGTTTAAAATAACGGTTTTGTTCTTGAAAGCTAACCTTAACATTGCACTGGTCTTTCTGACTTTGACTTGGAAATTAGCATTGCAGATTTCAGAGAGCACACTTTCCTCCAAAATATTTTCTTAAGATGCTGTGACAGCTTCAGTAACTTCTGGTTTTGGACCATTTAACTTAAGATTAATAACTTGTTGAGTTTTCAGCAAGTACATTTTACAAAGAACACACTTGAGTCTTTTTTGTTTGTATATGAATGCAGACATATTTTTGCCTATTTCTTTAAAAAGTTGAAAGTCTCTCATATTTTTGGACTTGAGTAAGATCTTGTGATTTTTATTACCTTGTCTGGGTAGGTGTTGGCATTTATGCAATGTCTCTAAGGTTCTGAGTGTAAAAAAACTATTTTCAAATGTTTTCTGCTTGTGCTAGCTTTAGTTTATTATTACAAACGATCACTTTGCCTTGTCCAGTTTTATTTGCTATAGGAATTGGCATGACAATTGAGGGTTCTTCTGGGATTTCAAAATTCAGTTGGCAATTTAACTTCAGTCTTCTTAGAGATCTAATAACCAGCTTGCCTTTTAGCTGCCTTCTGGAGGTGAGGCAGGGAGACTTGGAGAACCTAGCTTGAGAATCTACTTTGAAAATATTATTGGGTGTTTTGTTATCATACATTACCAGTGACTGGCACATTAAACAGTATGCAAAAACAGTATCTTTCTGACATGGCAAACCTTTTCTATTTTGGATTGCTGAAATTTTGCTTTTCAGGAGAGTCCAATACCAAGGTAGTGGCTTCTATAGAATTTATATCATCTGACTAGCTTGCGTTTATGATAGATTCCTGGTAATAAAACAGATTCAGGGTTGAAGCTTAAAGATGTTATATCCTATAAGTATTAGTTCTAGTTTACAAATAATGAAGTGTGTAGTCTTTTTAATCCTATTTCTTGGATCATGATTCCTGTAGATGTGAAGTGTGGTGTATGAAAAATTACATGAATTTACTGGTCACCAGATTGTCAAAGCTAGGACTCAAAGGAAATACTGTTTTCCTATAAAGCATTCACCTGTTTTACTGCCTTGTTCTTTTCCTGATATAAGAAATTATAGTAATGGTTTTGCTTTTAGAAACACATTTGCATAAGTAATAAACCTTAGAAAAGGGCACAGGAATGATTGAATTAAATCATTTTGTTGATTAGACATTAAAAGTAGCAGCTAAAAAAAAACACAGCAAGCTATTCAAGATAATACCTTTATTGGTTTTTTTAGGACTAGAGTTGGCCACAAGATCTCCCAAAGGAATATGAACTGATAAATTTCTCACTTGTGATACGACAAATTACTTTCAACTTTGCTTTACTTGAATGGCCTTCACACTAGGAGGAGAGTGTTCATGTTAATATTTATTTGTCTGGGATTTTGTCATTGAAGTCATGCAGCTGAAATCATCAGAGTGTTCGGATGTGATAGCTGGCTTAAACTGCTGTGCAGGCTTTTGGGTACTGGGGAATGGCCTCAGTGTAAAATGTGAATAGAGCAGTAATGATCTTTCAGAAACAGATGATGCAATTGTCAAGAAATCCCATTTCCCACTATTATTTATAAGCCATAAGACAGTGTGACATATGGAGGTGAAATCTCTGATGTCTAGATCACATACACAAATGTGATGCCAGGAGCTGAGGACAGAGGAATATGGTGTGTCACTGTAGGAAAGTTTTCAAAAGAGGTAAAGAGGAAGGAAGTATTTGAAGGTGAGATAAAAAGAATAGAAAATTTCTGCCCATATGGTACCTGGGGGATTTGAAGGAAGACAAAGTTAAGAATCAGTATTCAAAAATGTCATGTTATTTTTCTAATTACTTTTTGTCTCTGACTTTTGAGGATTTAGGAAAATAATTAGGGCTGACTAACTTCTCTAGTTAGCTGACATAAAAATATAGCTAGGCTTGGAACTGTCATTAAAGTCTATGAAGTTTCAACTTATACTAAGCTAAACTTCTTCCTTCAGTGTCAACCTCATTAAGTTCATATGTATAAATAAAGGACAGAATTGTATTTATAAAAATGCATAAACATAGAATATTTTGAGGTAGGAATATCTGTCTGAAACATTTTGTACACATCCAACAGCCTTCAAAGGTAAATTGCCTCATTTAAGGAATAATTCCATGTATATGCTATGAGAAATGGTGCCACTGCAGTGTAATATCTACCAAAATTTAGACATGTAACATAGTAGTGAAAATCTCTGCTCAACGTTGTTGTAAAATCTCCACAGCTTTCATTGCTATGTAATCAATTTAGTAATGCATACACGCATGAGAAGTTATGATATAATCAACTAGTCTTTGTAAAATACATGACAAAGCTATTCACTAAGTTAAAAGCTACAAAATTATATTCTTTAAAATTAAGAAAGTAAGGAGAAATAAATTTTCTTTCTTCTCGGAAATGCTTTTTTGAAATATCATATTCATTACCTCGAGAAGACCAAAGGAAATTATGCACTATGGTAGGTACAGGAAGAAATCTGAATTTAGGGAGTGACAGGGGAAATATACTCCACATTCTAATGTTATGTATTATTGTCTATTCATGAGATTTTGTTGTTTTGATTTGTTTTATATTTGCACAGATTGTGTAAATTTTTATTATCTTTTAAAATTTAAAGTTTATAAAAGAATTATGTTATTATGTCTGCTGAAAAATGGATGAGCAACTTAAATATTGGTTCTTTAAAGAAGTATTATGGGACATATGTCTCTATTATGTCACTTGTCTGAACTGGAGGCATGATGCACCCATCATGAAACATAGACAACATGCACATAACTCCCCCTCAGTGTTTCAGTATATTTTCCCCTTAAGCGAATTTGGTTATTTAAAGTCACTTCAATCATAATTTTGTTTGTCTTTTTGTCTGCAGAACTGATTCATAATTTATTTTGTAATTCATGCTTACAGTGGGTGAAGTTCAACTGTAACTTTCATTCTGAAAAACAAGACTGACTTCAGCTTGTGACTTGGCACATGGAGTGCAAAGTGTGATAGGAAGTGCATGGCCAAGAGGAGCAGAGGGAGTTAGGAATTAGGAAGTGGGGTTGTGAAAGACAGCAGGGAATCTGGTATCGAAGGAGTTAAGAGACGAGCAATAACATGGGACCTTAAAATAAGGACAGAGAATTAAATACAAAGAAATGGATAGGCATGAAAGGATGAAGGGATACAGAAGAATAAAGAGAGACTGGAGTGGTAAGGAAAGAGCCTTAGCACCAGGGGAAAAATGAATTCTGTCAAGAGCTTAGTCACGAGGCGGAGTTTGAAAAATTGGTAGGAGATGTTTAGGTAACTGGATATGCTTTTACAGGTAGCCAGCGGAATGGGTTGAAAGTCAGTACAGCAGAAGTGATAGTTAAAGATAATAAAATGAGAAGGCAAAACTGAACACAGACTGCAGCTCCTAAGAGGAGCTCATAATGTCATGTATTAGTCCCAAGAAGGTTTTTAAACCTCCAGCACGGCCTGCAGCATATACTCAATATATTGCATAATCACAATGTGTATTGCATTAAACTTTCTGGGCTTCATTTGTAAACTAATTTGGAAGGTGGGGAAAACTTAGTATTAACTTAATAAAGTGTTTGTTTTTCTGTGTAAATTTTGCAGTAATGTAATTTTTGAAATGCAGGTTTTTATCATACCCTTAATGCACTTGTATTACATTTTATGAGTCTTGGTCTAAAGAAAGAAGTGAGTGGTATGTTTTTTTGCTAAAAGAAAACACAAAAAAATAGAAAGGTCTGTTTTTTTCTAGACAAACTGAGCAAAACACGTAGGTCTCTTTTACATGGCAGAACAATATTAATTGGCCTAGGGAACTGAAGAATAGGAAGAGAAAACTTACTAATCTAAAAATGCCTGTTCTTTTGTTCCTAGGTTCAGACATTGTTCAATGGTTAACGAAGAACTTATCTATAGAAGACCCAGGTAATTTCTCCCTTTTTCATGTCTTAAAATTCTAGTTTGTCTTTTTAAATGATTGGACATGACTTTGTCTTCTGTTGCAGTGGGGGTGGCCAGGCAGCATTTGACCAGTATAATTTCAATAGCACACCAGATAGCATCAAACCTTAGAAAGTTTTGTTAAGAATCTGCGGGTTTTGTTATTGGACCAGAATGAAAATGATAGCTGCTTCAATTAGTAAAAAATGAGATTAAGTTCTTCTCCAGGAGGAATTTCCTAAATGTCATGTCAAACGGTTTGTTAAACACGTGCTGTTCTCTTAACAGAATTTTTCAACATATATAAAAATAAACAGAATTGATAAAGTATGTTCATGTACTGTTACCAAGAGCTGCATTTCTATTCTTAAGTTTGGACACTTTTCTAGCATCTTAGAATCATAGAATCACAGAATCACAGAATCGTAGAATGGTTAGGGTTGGAAGGGACCATCTAATCCAACATCTAATTCCAACCCCCCTGCCATGGGCAGGGACACCTCCCACTAGTCCAGGTTGCTCAAAGCCCCCTCCAACATGGCCTTGAACACCTCGAGGGATGGGGCATCCACAACTTCTCTAGGCAACCTGTTCCAGTGTGTCAGCACCCTCACAGTAAAGAACTTCTTCCTAATATCTAATATAAATCTACCCTCTTTCAGTTTAAAAACTCCTTACCCCTTGTCCTGTCACTCCACTCCCTGATAAAGACTCCCTCCTCATCTTTTCCTGTGGGCCCCCTTTAAGTACTGAAAGGCTGCTATAAGGTCTCCTCAGAGCCTGTTCTTCCCCAAGCTGAACAACCCGAGTTGTCTCAGCCTGTCTTCATAGGAGAGGTGCTCCAGCCCTCTGATCATCTTCGTAGTCCTCCTCTGGACTCACTCTAACAGGCCCATGTGCTTCTTATGTTGGGGCCCCCGGAGCTGTATGCAGTACTCCAGGTGGGGTCTCATGAGAGCGGAGTAGAGGAGCAGAATCACCTCCTTTGGCCGGCTGGCCACACTTCTTTTGATCCAGCCCAGGATGTGGTTGTCTTTCTGGGCTGGAAGTGTCATTGGCACACTTGCTGAGGGTGCACTCAATCACCGACAAAGATGTTAAATAGTACCACTCCCAGTACCAACCCCTGAGGAACACCACTTGTCTTTCAGTGCAGCCATCCAGCCAGTTCCTTAACCACCAAGTGGTCCATCCATCAAATCCATGTTTCTCCAATTTAGAGACCAGGATGTTGTGCAGGACAGTGTCAAACGCTTTGCACAAGTCCAGGTAGATGATGTTAGTTGCTCTTCCCTTATCCACCACAGTTGGTGTCAACGGCAAACTTGCTGAGGCTGCATTCTAAATGCAAAGTGAAGAGTAAATAAAATCAGTGTGGTAAGGAACAGTTCATTGCTCGAGCAGCTGGGTTGAAACGTGGAAGTAAAGATTTTGTTCCAAGCTCTGCCACAGGTTTCTTGTGTAGCCAGCAGCAAATGCTGTTTGGTGCGTATCTTATATTTATTTCCCTGTTTTACAGGAATCTTGTTAAATGATCTGAAATTTTCCAGAAAGAAATGATTTCTAGTAGAAAATGCTGAATGGCAGAAATAAAATATTCTGTGGAAGTTCCTATTATTTTTTGGTTAGGAGAAAAATAATCTTCCTTCTTTAAAGAATGATCAAAAATATTTATTTTTCCCCTCTCTGTTTCAGACTTCAGGGAATGGAATTTATGTTTTGTTTTGTTTTTAATTTAAAAAATGTGTTTTTCTGTCATATTAGAAATGAAAGTATGATCATTGTGGAATTCCAGCAAAAAATAAAATCACTGTGTTTGAAATCGTAACTTGAATAGTGAGGATCTATTATAAATACTTAATTTGATAGTTGGAATTAACCAGTTCACAACTTGTCGATATATTACATGAAAGAGATCACTAATTGCTTCCAGTTTTACGTAGCTTTACAGTGTCATATGTTTGCTTCCTGAAGATAAAGTGTAGGTAGCAAGAGACCTATGTCTGATACTGTGTTTCTCATCTGTCATCTACAAAACACTCACCTATCTATATTTATCAAGAGTTTGAAAGATTGCCATTCTGTGTTTATGTGATATGGAAGCTTAAGCTCTACTTGTCTAACAAGAACTGCAATACTGGGATAGGCTGTCGTTCAGATTATCTGGTTGTTGCAAAATTTGGAATAGAAGAAACCTTAAACTAAATGGAAAACATGGTTCCCTATGTTGATATCCAATTAAAATTAAACAAACACACAAACTACTAACATATGTAACCAGAACACCACAGTAATTTAATTTAAGCTGGGTTTTATCCTCTCAGATTGCATCGGTGGAAAAAACTAACAAAGACAAAATTGTCTTATGCATGTCAGTCCTAGTCCAAAGTCAGCTATCTGGAACTGGCCGGATGCAAATTTTCAGAAAGCCAATTGCCCTAAATGCTGCCTTTGGAAAGTGCTCAGAATTGCCAGATAGCAGTGGACCTGACAGATGGTGAGCAAGAGCTATTCACGTAACAGAACTGAAAAAATTCTGTTTTGTAAATTTTTTAAGTGTGTGACTTTTTGTTCCAGTTCTAGACAAGACAATGCAGAATTTCCTGTGGAAAACCCCTAAACTTCTGTGAACTCTTGTCACCGTAATTTGGATTTCCAGTATCTTCTGCCTGCTTTTCCACCAGTGTGTCAGGTTTCTACTGTGTCTGTCTTTTAAAACTCCCTCTTAGGGTCTTACTGCAAAGCTCTTGTGAAGCTATGTGATTTTGTGATGTAGGAATAAATAATGCCCGTGTTTGCACTGAAAGTTATCATCTCTGTCTTATTCTGATATGAGCAACATACGTGTAAGAGCAACATAAAGCAGACTTCATTCCCTTATTTTAAGAGTATATTCTACTTTGTCCAGAAAAATTTAAGGACTGTTTGTACACCTCATCTACCAGTGCTGTGAACTACTCATGTGAGCAAGGCATGCAAATTGTGCTTTAAGGGGTAAGCAGACAGAATCATAGAACAGCCCAGGTTAGAAGGGACCTCGGAAGATCATCTGGTCCAACCTTTCATGGGAAAGGGAGCCTAGATGAGATTATCTAGCTCCCTGTCCAGTTGCATCTTGAATACCTCCAGTGATGGGGACTCCACCACATCCCTGGGGAGGTTGTTCCAGTGATTGATTGTTCTCACCGTGAAAAATGTCTTTATTAAGATGAAACCTCTACCCGTGCAACTTGTACCCATTGCCCCTTGTCCTCTCTATGTAGCTCCTTGTGAAGAGAGCCTCCATCCTCTTTGTAGCTGCCCTTTTAGTACTGGAAAACTGTGATGAGGTCCTGTCTGAGCCTTCTGTTCTCCAGGGTGAAAACACCTTACTCTTTTAGTTGACTTGTTCTTTAGTGAAACAAAGAACTGGTAAGAAGGAAGCGGCACTACCGTACATTAAAAAAAAAAAAAAGTAACATTTTGTGGTGCAATTTTTTTCCTTTGTTTTGCATAGGGAATACAACTCTAATACCATTTAAGTGGGAATGAAGAAGGCTTCTTTATGGATAGTCGGAGAACAAAAGAGAGAAGAAGGTCAGGCAGCAACATTTGCTTTCACTGTGTTAATGAGTGTAAAGCTATTATCTGGAAACAGCAATTTCAAGTAAAAAATAGTTACAAGTATAAATTGCCAGTCAAAAAAACCCTGCACATTTTTCATAAATGGAAAATCATTTTCTGTGGAAGATTTGAAAGATTTGGCTTGCTGCAGTAAATCTCCATCAAGAAAATAAACTGGAGATGATGGGTGGATTCTGCTAAATTATACCAAATTTGAAGTTATTTCAGTGGAGCAGAGTAGGGCTTGTGCCCAGAATAGCTGTGCGCAGCATACAGTTGCTGTTATATTGTTTGCTTTTCAATATGTACTTAAAAAACATTTGTGTTTCAGCCTACAGCTCATCTGTAAAAATTTAAGGAACAGAAATTATCTAAGTTATTTTTAATGTGGAGGTTTAATTCAGTCATAAAAATAAGCCTGATCTCAACCCAAAAAGAAGCAATTAACTGAGTTTACAGAATTGTAAGGGCTTGTGGTTTGGCACTTAGACATGTGTTTATTGAATTGACCATTACAGGGTAAGTGCTGACTCTTCACTGATGGTGCCAATTACTTTCAATGAGGAAAATCTACTCTGTTTTTCTACATTGTGTTTTTCTTTTTTAAAGTGATAATTAGTGCTGTGAAGTGTACCAAACTGACCACACTAGAGACTGAAGTCCTTTTAATCCTTAGAAGAAAAAAAATAGAACAAAAGGGGTATATGAGCTGATTTAAAGGTGTCAGCTGAAATTGCCCAGAGACTAACTCTTTACTTGGTTCTTGCACCGATTTCTTTGATGCCCTTTGGGCAGACACTTTATTTCTCTATTCCCTAATGTTCCCACATGCTAATGGTAAATCATGCCGTTGTCTCTTTAAGGAGAAAAAAACAGTGTCAGTTTTCAAGTATTTTCATATTGAAATGTGTGTTCTGCACAAAGATGCATTTCACCCTTAAGTCAGCCCATGAAGAACGTCTATCTAGGTGGCTCAGAAAGAGCCTTTAAGAGCTGATAATATGTTTAGCCATCATCCCCTTGTTCCTTTAAAGTACCTTTACTCCTGAGTGTTGCTTATTTAATTCATGCATATCTGCAAAGCCATTTGAATTTGGCTGAAGGCACTTCATTATTGGCTGGTTACTCTAGAAAAGCCATAGTACTGCAGCGAGCTCTCCTTTGCGTTCAGATTGCCTTCGTCCAGCTCATTTTGGCAGTCTGTTGAAGGAGTTTGCTGCTGCTCTTGGACGTCAAGAATTACACTAAAGTCAAATATATATGACTAAATTAAACTTTGTAAGTTATAAAACAAGGTTTGCCTTGAAATAGACATCCTCCTGTGATTTTTCAGCTTCAGTTCTTGCCATTAACAGTCTGTTCACTTTTGTAGTCTGTTCACT